AATTAGCCCAGTATGGTGGTGTGCACCTCTTGTCCTAGCTACTCAGGGGGCTGAGGCAGGAGGATCGCTTGAGCCTTGGGAGGCTGAGGTTGCAGTGAGCCATAATCTCCAGCCTCGGTAACAGAGGGAGACCCTGTCTCCAAAAAAAGAAAAAAAGCAAAAGCTGTGGCTGTGGCTCACGCCTCTAATCTCATCACTCTGGGAGGCCAAGGCCGGAGGATGCCTTGAGACCAAGAGTTCAAGACTAGCCTGGACAACATAGGAGACCTTGTCTCTACAAAAACGTTTTAAGAATGACTAGGTGGGGTGGTACACATATGTAGCCCTGGCTACTCAGGAGGCTGAGGTGGAAGGATCACTTGAGCCCAGGAGTTGGAGGTTACAGCGAACTATGATCATACTGCTGTACTCCAGCCTGGACAAGAGAGCAAGGCTTTGTCTCTCTCTCTCTCTCTCTCTTTTTTTTTTTTTTAACATTTTCATTTATTTATTTCAGAAGGGAACTAGAGTGAAGACCTTGTCTCTCAAAAAAAAAAAAAAAAAATCAAAAGCTGACAACTTATTCCTTTCTTCCCTCATTCCCCTAACCTGCTACCATGTCAATGGCATTAGTCAGGAATGCTTTTGGCTGCGAATAACAGAACGTTTGAATACCAGAGGCTTTAGTGATTGAAGACTGTTTCTCTGGGGTTTTTGTTTTTTGTTTTTTTTTTATTGAGATGGAGCCTCACTCTGTCGCCAGGCTCAAGTACAGTGGTACGATCTCAGCTCACTGTAACCTCTGCCTCCCGGATTCAAGCGATTCTCCTGCCTCAGCCTCCCAAGTAGCTGGGATTACAGGCCCCCGCCACCACGCCCGGCTAATTTTTGTATTTTTAGTAGAGACAGGGTTTTACCATCTTGGCCAGGCTGGTCTCGATCTCTTGACCTCATGATCCACTCGCCTCGGCCTCCCAAAGTGCTGGGATTACGGGGTGAGCCACCGCGCCCAGCCTGTTTCTGTTACATAACAAGAAGGCAGGCTGGTACTGGTCCAGTGAGGTCAGAGCGATAACTCTTGGCCTTTTGCTCGTGTCTGCGGGAAAGCTTTTGCAGCTCCAGCCATCAAGCCAGTGCTTAAGTCACGAACATTGAAGGACAAAGCAAGAGCTTTTCCAGAGCCCCCCAGTGGATTCCTGCATTTTTCTCTTTGGCCCTGATTGTGTTATAGGGCATAATTGCAAAGGAAATTACTTCTTATCCAAGTCCCTCACCTTATGATAATGGGATCTGGGTATTTGTCTAGATTTAATTCCACAGAAAAAGAACTCCCTCTTTTTTTTTTTCTGAGATGGAGTCTCGCTCTGTGGCCCAGGCTGGAGTGCAGTGGCCGGATCTCAGCTCACTGCAAGCTCCATCTCCTGGGTTCACGCCATTCTGCCTCAGCTTACCGAGTAGCTGGGACTACAGGTGCTGTCACCTCGCCCGGCTAATTTTTTGGATTTTTAGTAGAGACGGGGTTTCACCATGTTATCCAGGATGGTCTCGGTCTCCTGACTTCGTGGTCCGCCCGCCTCGGCCTCCCAAAGTGCTGGGATTACAGGCGTGAGCCACTGCCCCCGGCCCCAGGAACTCCCTCTTACAAAGCAATTCAGGGCTATGGTGGTTTAAAAATATTATTGACCAGGACGGGCGCGGTGGCTCAAGCCTGTAATCCCAGCACTTTGGGAGGCCGAGACGGGCGGATCACGAGGTCAGGAGATCGAGACCATCCTGGCTAACACAATGAAACCCCGTCTCTACTAAAAATACAAAAAAATTAGCCGGGCGAGGTGGCGGGCGCCTGTAGTCCCAGCTACTCGGGAGGCTGAGGCAGGAGAATGGCGTAAACCCGGGAGGCGGAGCTTGCAGTGAGCCGAGATAGCGCCACTGCACTCCAGCCTGGGCGACAGAGCGAGACTCCGTCTCAAAAAAAAAAAAAAAAAAAAAAAAAAAAAAAAAAAAAAAATATATTATTGACCAGGCATGGTGGCTCACACCTGGGAGGCTGAGGTGAGAGGATCACTTGAGGCCAGGAGTTCAAGGCCAGCCTGGGCACATATAGTGAGACCTAATCTCTACTGAAAAGAAGTCAGCACGCCTGACTGTGCACAATGGCCAGACCCCACGCGCATGGGCAGGCCCGGAAAAGGCAGCACAAGTTCCGACTCCAGTCTGTGGGCCTGGCAGCCTGGCCCCCAACCTTCAGGATCTCCCAGGCCTGAAGGTGGGGCTTCACCAGGGACCTATCCCCTTCCACCCAGGAATGTGTCTGCCTCCTGTTCCCATTCATGGTGCCCAGGCTGTAGGTGCCAAGAGGTGCCTGCAGGCCGGCAGCGAGCTGCCCTCAGTCTCCCATTGGCTTCCCTCTTATGCTTGTCAGCACCCAAAGTCTGGAGGGGGCTGAGACGGCCAGGGACTGGTGTGTCAGCACTGCTTTGAGTATGTGCACACCTGGCCAGGCTGTGACAGCACCCAGGCTCAGCCCCAACTTTGCTCTGAGATTGGAGCAGGTGCCAACAGCAGGGAGAAGCCAGACAGCAAGAGCAGGCACTTCTGAGCCCGTGAGGGCTGGCGGGGCCTTCTCGGTTCCCCAAGAGTGCAGGGATGCCTTGGTCTGCAGCTGTGGTTTGAGCGGCTGCAGCTGTGTCCAAGGTGGGGAGGGGCGGGGCTCCTGCCTGCTACGCGGAGCGGGAGGCCCAGATCTGCAGCCACAATTTGGGCAGCTGCACCTGGGGAGCTCCCGCCCCACCAACTCGAAAGGGGCTGGGCTTCTACCTGTCTCTGGCTCCCACCGGTCCTGTGGAGTGTGCAGCCCTGGCTATGCCTCCCTGCTGCAGCCGGCGTGATGGCAGTAGCCGCTCCAGATGGGCCACCTGCTGCCATCAGGAGAATCACTTGAGTCCAGGAGTTGAGCTGGCAATGAGCTATGAATACGCCACTGCACTCCAGTCTGGGTGACAGAGCAAGAAATAATAAATAAATACAGTATGAATTGTTTGACATACCTTTCTTCAAAAAATGATTCCTTCCCTTAACTGCAGCCGTGATAAAAAAAAAAGGAAACAAAATGATACCTACTTTCTCTCCCCTTTTGTGTGGGGCCATATTTAATGACTTGCTTTTAATGAAAATGTGGCAGAAGTGTGAGACTTCCAAGACGAGGTCATCAAAAACATGGCAGCTTTCATTTTGTTTCCTCGCACATCACTCGTCCTGGGGAAAAGCAGCTGCCGTGTCATGAGAACACTGAAGCAGCTCAGGAACTGAGGCCTCCTGCCCACAGCCAGCGCTGACTTTCCAGCCCCGTTCAAACATTCAGATCCTGCAGCCGCAGCTGACACCTTCGCTAGAACCTGAGGAGAGCCCTGCCGGACCCACCCAGCTAAGCTACCCCCGAATTCCTCACCCACAGGAGCTATGTGAGATAATTTATTACGTAAGATAATACATGTTTATTGTCATTTGAGTAATTGTCATTTTGGAGTAATTTGTTACACAGCCATAGATAACACATTATGGCTCCTCAAGTCTTTCGAAAAGCCTGGATCCAAGGCGATGTGCTCACCTGCATCCACTTGCCTGAGTCCCTCTTTCTTCTCCCCTGTAGAGTTTTCCTGCTAGAATAACATTTCCATTCCCTCTGCTCACCAGGGACATGACTTCCGTTGAGCTAGGTGCCTCATCTGATGGGTCTCGTATGCCTTTAAAAAAGGGCAGATTCAGCTGGGCGCGGTGGCTCATGCCTGTAATCCCAGCACTTTGGTAGGCCGAGGCGGGTAGATCACACGGTCAGGAGTTCAAGACCAGCCTGGCCAATATGCTGAAACCCTGTCTCTACTAAAAATACAAAAATTAGCCGGGCGTGGTGGCGGGCACCTGTAGTTCCAGCTACTCAGGAGGCTGAGGCAGGAGAATCGCTTGAACCCGGGAGGCGGATGTTGCAGTGAGCTGAGATCGCACCATTGCACTCCAGCCTGGGCAACAAGAGTGAAACTCTGTCTCTAAATAAATAAATAAATAAAGGCAGAGCCACCAACTCAGCTTAAAAGCAACAGGAGCCTAACGACCAGCCATGCCATCTGTCATCTTCCTTCTCAGACGATATAGGCCAGTTTCAGGGCGTTGGTTGTCCACCCAAGGGGTAAGATGATCACCAACTGATCTAGGCTCTTTGGGGACTCTACGGCTCTTTTTTTTTCTTTAACATCAATAGAGACAGGGTCTCCTTATGTAGCCCAGGCTGGTCTCAAACTCCTGGGCTCAAGCAATCCTCCCACCTTAGCCTCCCAAAGTGCTGAGATTACAGGTGTGAACCACCACGCCCAGCTTTTTTTTTTGTTTTTTTTTTTTTGAGACGGAGTCTCGCTCTGTCGCCCAGGCTGGAGTGCAGTGGCCGGATCTCAGCTCACTGCAAGCTCCGCCTCCCAGGTTCAAGCGATTCTCCTTCCTCAGCCTCCCGAGTAGCTGGGACTACAGGCTCCCGCTACCACACCCAGCTAGTTTTTTGTATTTTTAGTAGAGACGGGGTTTCACCATGTTGGCCAGGATGGTCTCGATCTCCTGGCCTTGTGATCCACCCGCCTCGGCCTCCCAAAGTGCTGGGATTACAGGTGTGAGCCACTGCACCCGGCCTCTTTTCTTTTTTAAAAAAAGAATTAAAAATCTTAAAACTGGCCAGGCGCGGTGGCTCAAGCCTGTAATCCCAGCACTTTGGGAGGCCGAGATGGGCGGATCACGAGGTCAGGAGATCGAGACCATCCTGGCTAACACGGTGAAACCCCGTCTCTACTAAGAAATACAAAAAATAGCCGGGCGAGGTGGCGGGCGCCTGTAGTCCCAGCTACTCGGGAGGCTGAGGCCGGAGAATGGCGTGAACCCGGGAGGCGGAGCTTGCAGTGAGCTGAGATCCGGCCACTGCACTCCAGCCTGGGCTACAGAGCGAGACTCCGTCTCAAAAAAAAAAAAAAAAAAAAAAAACTTAAAACTTTATGGGACTCTTTACGAATTTTAGTTCATCCTTGAGCAAGGGCCATGCTAATCTTCTTTGTATTGTTCCCATTTTAGTATATGTGCTGCTGAAGCAAGCATGGCCACCATTCTTTTTTTTTTTTTTTTTTTCTGAGACACAGTCTTGCTCTATCACCCAGGCTGGAGTGCAGTGGTGCAATCTCAGCTCACTGCAACCTCTGCCTCCTGGGTTTAAGGGATTCTCCTGCCTCAGCCTCCCGAGTAGCTGGGATTACAGGCGCCGCCACCATACCCTGCTAATTTTTGTATTTTTAGTAGAGACGGGGTTTCACCATGTTGGCCAGGCTGGTCTCAAACTCCTGACCTCAAGTGATCCTCCCGCCTCAGCCTCCCAAACTGCTGGGATTACAGGTGTGAGCCACCGTGCCTGGCTCTCAGTTCCAATTCTAGTCTAGGGTTAGTGTTTTGGTTTTTTTTTCTATTTGTTTTTTTGAGTCATATCAAATAGATATGAGACCCCTGGAATTCTAAGACATCCTGGATGAACTCCACAAATAACTGATACTAACCTTGAGCCAGAAATAGTTGTACAGTAGCTTTACTATCCTATAATTCAAGGTTATTTTTATTGTTAGCCTGTTTCATCTGCAGTAGCAAAATCTAGTTTCAGTTAAATTGGTTTCCTCAAGCACTAAGTGATGCCTACATTCTAAGGGGACTTACTCTAGCACACACACATCCTGCCTTGGGAGGCACGTGAGCTTTGTCATCTACCCACACAACGATCCTTGAATTATCCTTATGGTCTCTGGGCTGCTTCGCCCCCTCCAAGACAGCAGGGGGCGTTCTCCCGCGTTCTCATCTGTAGGGTGCCTTCATGCCTAAGGGTTGTCTGGCCTACCGGTCTGTGTCACCCTTGAACATACAGGAAATGTTGGGGCAAGGAAAACTCGGAGTTTATCTGAGGCTGTCACCCTTGCTATGTTGTTTTGGAGCTTGCAGGGGTCTGGGGCTCAAGGTGTCGTTCTCTAGGAGCTCACACTGCACCTGAACTTGTAATGCTTCTTTTTTTTGAGATGGAGTCTCACTCTGTCACCCAGGATGGAGTGCAGTGGTGCAATCTCGGCTCATGGCAAACTCTGCCTCCCAGGTTTAAGTGATCCTTTTGCCTCAGCCCCCTGAGTAGCTGGGATTACAGGTGCCTGCCACCACACCCGGCTAATTTTTCTATTTTTAGTAGAGATGGGGTTTCACCATATTGGTCAGGCTGGTCTTGAACTCCTGACCTCAGGTGATCAGCCTGCCTCAACCTCCCAAAGTGCTGGGATTACAGGTGTGAGCCACCGCGCCTGGCCATGAACTTGTAATGCTGCTTCTTCACCACCTCTTCCGACCCAGGAAGTCTTTATTTGGTTTGAGGTCGGGGAACCCTGTCTCACTCAACATCAGGTATTCTTTTTTTTTTTTTTTGAGACGGAGTCTTGCTCTGTCTCCCAGGCTGGAGTGCAGTGGCGTCATCTCAGCTCACTGCAAGCTCCGCCTCCTGGGTTCACGCCATTCTCCTGCCTCAGCCTCCCGAGTAGCTGGGACTACAGGTGCCACCACCATGCCCGGCTAATTTTTTTTTGTATTTTTAGTAGAGACGGGGTTTCTCCGTGTTAACCAGGATGGTCTCGATCTCCTGACCTCGTGATCCACCCACCTCAGCTTCCTAAAGTGCTGGGATTACAGGCGTGAGCCACTGCGCCCAGCTTCTTTTTTTTTTTTTTTTTTTTTTTTTTGAGAAGGAGTTTTGCTCTTGTTGCCCAGGCTAGAGTGCAATGGCATGATCTCGGCTCACCACAACCTCTGCCTCCTGAGTTCAAGCGATTCTCCTGCCCCACCCTCCCGAGTAGCTGGGCTTATAGGCACCCGCCACCATGCCTGACTAATTATTTGTATTTTCAGCAGAGACAGAGTTTCACCACGTTGGCCAGGCTGGTCTTGAACTCCTGACCTCGTGATCCACCCGCCTTGGCCTCCCACATTGCTGGGATGACAGGTGTGAGCCACCACGCCCAGCCAACATCAGGTATACTTACAAATCTATTTTCTTGTGTTGAGTTCGTTCTGTTTCTCTCTGAAAGGTAGATTTTTGAAATGCAAAAGCATGAAACTAACTTCTTTTTCTCCCAGGTGAACCCTTTCCTGAAGGAAGAAATGGAGAATGGCCCAGATGACGAAATGACGGAAGGATCACGTAATCCAAGGATAGGGTAAAATATTGGTTAATATTTTAAAAACTTATCCTATCATGCATATGCGATGTCACTGACTCTTTTCAACAATTTTATGAGAAATAACCTCTATTGTATAGTTTAGGAAACATTCAGAGAGGTTAGGGCTACACAGCTAGAAGCAGAATTTGGCCAGGCGCAGTGGCTCACGCCTGTAATCCCAGATACTGAGGCTGAGGCAGGAGAATTGCCCGAACCCGGGAGGTGGAGGTCACAGTGAGCTGAGATCGTGCCATTGCACTCCAGCCCAGGTGACAGAGCGAGACTGCATCTCAAAAAACAAACAAAACAAAAAATAGAAGCAGAATTTGAATCCATGTCTATCTGATTCTAGGATCCTATCCTTGCCATCTCATCGTACAATACCTATAGGCATTTAAAAGTGTAACTTCGGCCGGGTGCGGTGGCTCAAGCCTGTAATCCCAGCACTTTGGGAGGCCAAGACGGGCGGATCACGAGGTCAGGAGATCGAGACCATCCTGGCTAACACGGTGAAACCCCGTCTCTACTAAAAAATACAAAAAACTAGCCGGGCGAGGTGACGGGCACCTGTAGTCCCAGCTACTCGGGAGGCTGAGGCAGGAGAATGGCGTGAACCCGGGAGGCGGAGCTTGCAGTGAGCTGAGATCCAGCCACTGCACTCCAGTCTGGGCGACAGAGCGAGACTCCGTCTCAAAAAAAAAAAAAAGTGTAACTTGAATGTTCCAGTTCTTATCAGCCCAGGGGTGCAAATAAGGTCACATTAACACTTACCCACAACTTTGCTGGCAGCTCACCCCTCATTTGCTCACACAGAACCTCAGCTTCCTTCAAAACGCCTCCCCAAAAGATTCTTGTAGCTATCCAAGAATGAGTTTCCTTTATGAAGTACTGCTGCTCCCTCGTCTGTACTCCTTGGCAAGGAGAACTGACACAAACATGATATTCTTGCTGCTTGCTGTGCCATGAGTAATAAAGTCCTTTCTCTCACACCAGGAATTGAATGTCCTCTGCAAACATTCATGAAGCAGTAATAGGCTAACTTACTAGCTTGTTAGTAGGGTAAAATCATCCCAGACCTGACACATGGCACAGGCTTGAGGTCAGGTGCTATGTGGTGGTAACCACAAGAAGCTGTTCGGAGCCCAGTGAGAACTGAGTGCTATAGACTGGGCCCAGTGGCTCCTGCCTGTAATCCCAGCACTTTGGGAGGCTGAGGCAGGAGGATTGCTTGAGCCCAAGGGGTTTGAAATCACCCTGAGCAATACAGGGAGGTTTTTTTTTTGTTTTTGTTTTTTGTAGATGGAGTCTCACTCTGTTGCCCAAGCTGGAGTGCAGTGGCGTGATCTCAGCTCACTGCAAGCTCCGCCTCTCAGGCTCAAGTGATTCTCCCACCTCCGCCTCCCGAGTAGCTGGGGTTACAGGCTCTCACTGCCACGCCCAGCTAATTTTTTTGTATTTTAGTAAAGATGGGGTTTCATCATGTTGCCCAGGCAATCCACCCGCCTTGGTCTCCCAAAGTGCTGGGATTACAGGAATGAGCCACTGCGCCCGACCAATACAGGGAGACCTTGTCTCTATAAATTTTGTTTTTTAAATTAGCTGGCCATGGTAGTGCATGGCTGTGGTCTCAGCCACTTAGGAGGCTGAGGTGGGCGGATCATTTGAGCCAGGAGTTTGAGGTTGCAGTGAGACGAGATCACGTCATGGCACTCCAGCCTGGGCAACAGAGGGACGCTTTTCCTCTAAAAAAAAACTGGAAAAAAGAACTGGTTGCTATAGCAGTGGCTGCCATAAGAGAAAGGTAAACAAAGGAATCCAAAGGGGTGTCTGTACTGTCTCCGCAAATCTCATTAGCCACTGTCCTGCTTGCTGTCAGCGGAGACTGGGGAAGCTAGTGCTCTCAAGCAAGAGCTCCCGTGACGGCTGGGCGAGGCGGCTCAATCAAGTCTGTAACCCCAGCACTTTGGGAGGCCAAGGCAGGCAGATCACCTGAGGCCAGGAGTTCGAGACCAGCCTGGCGGTGAAACTCCATCTCTACTAAAAATAGAAACATTAGCTAGGCATGGTGGCACACACCTGTAGTCCCAGCTACTTGGGAGGCTGACGCAGGAGAATCACTTGAACCTAGGAGGAAGAGGTTGCAGTGAGTCAAGATTGTGCCACTGCACTCCAGCCTGGGGGACAGAGTGAGACTCCATCTCAAAAAAAAGAAAAGAAAAGAAAAGAAAAGAACTGCATTTTCTGGTTTGAAATAACATATGAGATGACTTTCTTTCTTTTCTTTTCTTTTTTTTTTTTTTTTTTTTTTTGAGACGGAGTCTCGCTCTGTCGCCCAGGCTGGAGTGCAGTGGCCGGATCTCAGCTCACTGCAAGCTCCGCCTCCCGGGTTCACGCCATTCTCCGGCCTCAGCCTCCCGAGTAGCTGGGGCTACAGGTGCCTGCCACCTCGCCTGGCTAGTTTTTTGTATTTCTTAGTAGAGACGGGGTTTCACCGTGTTAGCCAGGATGGTCTCGATCTCCTGACCTCGTGATCTGCCCGTCTCGGCCTCCCAAAGTGCTGGGATTACAGGCTTGAGCCACCGCGCCCGGCCCTTTTTTTTTTTTTTTTTTTTTTTTTTTTTTTTTTTTTTTGAGATGGCGTTTCACTCTTGTCGCCCAGGCTGGAGTGCAGTGGCATGATATCAGCTCACTGCAACCTCCACCTCCCGGTTTCAAGTGATTCTTCTGCCTCAGCCTCCCAAGTAGCTGGGATTTTAGGTGCATGCCACCACACCTGGCTAATTTTGTATTTTAGTGGAGATGGGGTTTTTCCATGTTGGTCAGGCTGGTCTTGAACTCCCGACCTGGGAGACCCACCC